ACAATTTTCTTCTGCCACTTTACAGATAGAAACAAGAAAATACACAACAAAACATTTGTTTTCTAAATGCCATAGTTATAAAATAATGTTAAACAAAGCATGGGAGAATTAAGATTTTCATAAGATTGTATGTGTGATGGTTGTGCAAAATTTAGATAATTCTGTATTAGACAAGGAAAAAATTGCTACATTGTTTGGTAATGCAAGACCGGCTGAAATGTATTACTTTGTATTAAAATTAATTTGCCTTGAAAAAGATTATAAAATAAAATTTGGCTAGGAAAGAAGAATAAAAAGCAAAGAAAGAAGATTAATTCTAAAGCATTGCCCTTTCTGAAGGACAATTGCATTAACTCAAAATGACTTTACCAGCATGAATAAAAACCAGGTTAGAGCGTATAACTATCGTAGGATATAATAAGGTGTATTATTATTGCTATTGACTATATCTTGGACTAAGCATTATATTGTAACCAAATTTCTGTGAGATTATAATCATTTGACTGCCTAACTCTGTTAAATAACTTAACATAAAGTTAAGAACAACATAAACCCAAGAAATACCTGTTATTCCATTGTGACATGTCATTTCAAGGAATGCTGTACAACATAACAGTGGATATTCAGAATGAACAGTGGCTGTTTGGGAAAACAGGTAATTATTAAACCTGTCTAAAAAGGCTAAGCTTGAAACACTGTCATTGAAGTGTGTTGTGGAGAGCTCTTTAGCACCTGTATGTAAATCTGACAAATACTGTTTAGGTGGCAGGCAAAGCTATAGTGATAACTGATGTCATTTCTGGTACTGTGTTCTGTTGGATAGGCTTACGTTTTCCTGAAAGAATTACCTGTCATGGAGAAGTTGTGCACAAATGCTTTATGAGTTGATTTTTATTCTTCTTCTTTTTTTTTTTTTTAAGTGAGGAAAAGTTGCTTTGGATTTTGTTGAGTCATTTTTTTAGATATGTGGATATTCTTACAAAAAGAGATTCTTGATAAGGGCTTTTTTTTTTTCCTTACATAGAAAGGTTAAGTGACTCGGCCAACGGAGCAGAGCCTGAGCTCTGCTGCTTCCCGTTTTCTGCATTTGCCTACAGCACAGGCTGCGGCGGGGTGTTGTAGAGCCACCTGGTGTAGACCTGGACTATGCCAAGAGCAGGAGTAATTTTTGCTGGCTGATTTACACCGTTTCTATGAACAAGCTAAAAATAAGCAAAGGCTGCCTGTTGGGAGCATAAACTGAGATTTTGATTTTTTTTTTTCCAGCGAGGTGATAGCACCTGAGGTTGTGGAGTTTTCATGCCCCAAGCCAACAAACTGTGGTGTGGATTTGGCTTATTTCAGTGCCGCGAGCGCAGCTCTTGTTATTTATACTCCAGCAGGACATGAATTTTCCAGGCACAATTAAGGTGACGTGGTGCTGGAGACAGTGCAAACACAGGGTAAAAATCAGCACCTGTGGTCACAGCTTTGCAGTCTGAAAAGAGAAAACAAGGAGAAATGGAAGGCACAGAAAGGTAAAAAACCTCATCCAAGGTGAAGCAGCTATGTTTTAGATTGCAGCCTGAGCACATGCCTGAGCGTAAGGCCATAGCTTGTTTAGTCTACATCTCTGTAATTGTGTCCAAATTAGTGAAAAAATAAATATTAATGTCAGCTACCCGGTGCTGAATAACAACTGAAAAGTGCACAGAATAATTTTCTAGAGAATTAGCTTAACAACAGTGGTTTAAATCAACTTTGGAAAGTTTACAACAAAATGTAAGAGTGGGGAGTTGTTGCTCACTGCTTCTTAGCACAGACCTTGGTAGCTCTCTCCATCATCCCATTATCCCAGCATGGCACAAAACTCAGGCAGATCCAGTCACCTTTTACCTGAAGCCATAAGACCTTCTGTGAAGTGTCACAACTTGAGAAAACTAATGATAAGGACAGTTTAGAACCAAATTTGCAGTATAAACGTCACCATTCTGTCTGTGAAGCCAAGCTGGAAAACCCTCTAAATTTGTCTTGTCCCTAGATTTTGCCATAAATATTCTTAGTATTTTAGAAGACCCAGTATCAAATCTGTCCTAGCACCATTTAATAGCTGTCCAGGGCCATTGCTTTCTGTGGAAGGGGTGTAGGGTGGGCAGCGTTTTGCCCCAGATGAGTAATTATCTAAGGACACACACAGAGGTCTTAATATAAATAACAAAGAGATCCTTGAACTAAGTTTATTTATGATTATAAACTGAGATTATGCCCAGGAGAAACCTAGGGTCAATAGCACAAATGCCTTTTGACTCAGATGTGCTCTGGCTGGTGAGCAGTGCAGATTTTGCAAGACTGGGCACAAGAATGCCACAGTCCGAATATTCTCCCAGCTGATTAAAAAGTTACTATATCCCATGGGATATATGCTGGCTCTATTTTACTAATTTTTGTAACATGGTCTTGAGGCAAGAATGAATTGAATACACTCTCTCTACTCAGTATTTCCTGTTCATGTGGGTTAAAACATTTCATAATTTTGTTTTCCTATTTCTTTTGTGGTTTTGCCCAGTGTGATTTTCAAGGGTTTTGATTTTAGCACTGCTTTGCCAATCTATCTTATTATATTCATGTTTCTGTTTCTCCTTTGTGAAATTAATATGGCGAAGGAATTTAACTTGCATTGTGAGGATGTGAGCATACGTTGTGAGAATGGATATTAAGCTATCTATCCTAACAGGTGATAGATACTGCATGAGATATGACTGGAGTAACTAAGAGCTTGTTAGAAGCCAGGGAAAGCTAGCGTAGAGGTTTTGTCGTGATGATTTTTTCACTGCTTTATAAAAGCATCCTGTATGGACTTGAGATCCTGCCTCTGTCTGCAGTGTCCCCTAGTCAGGAGTCAATGATACATATTCGTTTCAGAAAAGATGTTTATTATTTTGGTTGAAATACTAAGTCCTTTGAGACTTCAGCCTCACAGGTGTATAACAGATAGGAGGGCTTGGCTCTGCTGCTGGAAGACAGAAGAAAACTGTGCTTATGTTGGGCCATTCGTCGTTGAGGCAGAGTTGCCCCTGCCATTAGAGCCAGCGGACAGAAATAACCCCTGCTGCCCGTGATTTTTATACAAATGAGCTCAGGTTGGCTTTGGGGAGGGCTGGGGGCTCCCTGATTGTGTTTCACCAAGAAAATGCACCGTACTATTAAGAAAACGCTTGAAGAAAGCTGAACCATGAGCACACGCTGAAAAGCTGATGGCTGCCTGGAGGGGGTGGCAGCCGCAGCCGAGGAGGAGCAGCCACACAGTCAGCATCATTCAGCCACTTCCCAACACACGACTGACCCAGTTTTCCCTGCTGGGACAGGCATAGCCAGGCTGGTGTGAGCCTTGGGCTGATGTAGGTTACTCGTGGGAAGCAGACACTGCAGCGCTCTATCTCGGGCTTGCCCCACAGCTACAGCTGCAACTGTGTGCTTGCAGTGCCCAGTTCCTTGCCTGAGCATCAGATCCGTTACCCTGTTCTACCTTCTGTGCATCAGGGGTGGGGTTTGGGCCGTACACTGTATTACGTGCTTTTCCTACAGAATTTTATGGGGCGAAAGGCAGCTGCTCTTCCCGTAGCAAATTCTATAGACTGTGAAAGCACCTGGGTCTAAATGTTCTTTGTCAGAGCAAGAATGGCCTGTTCCTAGCCTCACCTTCCCCAGGCTTTGGTTAATCATCAGTACTGGTCTACTGGAGCCATCTCATTCAAAACTCAAACCGATTCTTTCACTATTTTGGCTTTTCATATGCTTCATTCTGTGTAATTTTAAACTACCTGAAATTTCATGTCAGTAAAATTCTAAGTTTAATGGGGAAAGGATGTTACTTCATTTGCAATAAGGAAACAAGTTAGTTAAAACAGAGATTTTTGAGGAATCTTAAGTAGATTAGGTCCCCTAACCTTGCTGAGTTGCAGTAAGACTTGCATTTTAGCTTAAAATCCCAGCCTAGAAATACAGTCGTGTGACCTCTGGGAAACTGCCTAAAGCCAGTGGTAAGAATTTATTTTGGCAGATAACCAACATCTTCCTATAGTATGAAAGGAAACTTGCTCTCTTCTGAGCTAAATGTTAATTCAGATGGGGAATTGAAAAAAAAAAAGGTAGGAGAATACAAAGATTTAAAATTACATTAGTTGCAAGGAAATATTTTTAGTGAGTAAATATGTTTAGCTGCAGGTCCTAATGCTGTGAGTTACGCATATTCCTTGTTAACAGTGCTAAGAAAGGCATTTCGGTTGAATTCAACAAAACATGCAACTGTTATATACGGTCACTATTGCAATAATAACTGCAGTTACCCAAGAATTTTTTAATACAGTTTTTCAGTGGAAAATTTGTGAGATTGAGGGGAAATGTACTAGTTCTGAGCATATTTACTTGCATCAAATGTTTCTGCTGTAAGCCAGAGGCAGCATCCCAATGGAAAAAAAAAAAAAAAAGATGTGAGTAGTGTTTTTTTGTTAGCTCCAATTTCTGTTCTGCCTGATTCCTTTGGCTGTTCTGAGACTTGTATTTTCTCTTACACTTTTTGGAAAAAAGACCATATATGGCAATGGAATATGTAAAAATCCAGAGTATTTTCCACAGGAGAGGAGTACTGTTTTTTGACTAATAGTGCCACAAAAAAATGTGTGGTCCATATCTATTTTAGATGAGCTGTAAGAGACTTTTAAGGTACCTATTATTTCAAAACACAAAATATGGTATTTAGTTTGGATTTATCTAGGTATTTTACATATTTTTTCCAGGTGCTCAAATAATTGTCTTAACAGGAAAACTTATTTATAATACTTACATAAATATTTGTAAAATTACAGCTCTACTCAGACCTAAGATGTATAGAAGTGATTGTCAGAAAATCTGATAGTGTTGTAGGATGACCATTTGGTATTCTTCTGTGAATTACTTGAAACATGTCACAATGTTGTTTACACACACACACACACACACACACACACACACACACACACACACAGAGCTATAAAAACTAATTTCATAGTTAATTTGGGAAGCTATTTGGTCTCTTTACAGCAGACATCTTGGCGTATTACGCTTTCAGTGTTTTTATTGTAATTCCTATATTACATACATTCGTTTTTCTTCTCTCCTCAGAAATTTTTCCAAGAGATTCCAGTCTAAAAGACAAATTCATAAAACATTTTACAGGTAAGGAAGCTGCTTGCTCTTAATTTACCTACATATGCATATTCTAAGTAGCCATAAGAGTCACACCATTAGCTTTTTTGAGGTTCTGCACCAAATTTAACATTTGTGAAGTTAAATTTGCGTTGTTTAGGATGAGAAGTTTTTACAGAACTCAAATTATGGTTAGGTTTGAGTTTCTCTTTGAATAATCCAGCCTAAAACACCTTTCAAAACACCTTTCAAAACATGCTACGTTAAAATGCTCATGTTATAAAACCTGTTGTTTCATTTTGATCTTCCTATTGTTGCTTGTTGCTTTGCAGCTACAGTACATGTTCCAGGTACTGAATGTATGCATATAAACCTACGGTATCTGTATGCTATAGATATTGCCTTATATATCTATGTGAAATGGTTTGCAGTATGGTGTTAAAAACGTGGTACGTGTGGGCACTTATCTGCTCTCTCTGGCTAGTAATATTTTAGTGAGAGAACTCAGTACATTTTTAATTTTAAAGATATATATTTTCCATAGTTTTTGTCAGTCCTACTGTATTTATTTTCAAGTTTGCTAATTTTAAAACTTCTCACTGGACTGCATATATCTTCCAGAAACAGATCTATGTGGCCTGCAAGTTTTCAGTTTATCAAGGAAACCCATTTTGTCTTCTGTCTCATAGTGTGTAGATGTGGGCACTTATTTTAACAAGGCGAACAAATAGAACGAGGAAGGATTAAACAGTGTAAATTAAAGAGAAAAACCATTTGCTATTTCAAACATGAAAGTTTAATATGATTTCAGTCAATACTTGTACTTGAAAACTGAGATGGAGTTGTATAATGTGCTTACCTTTGGGGCTCTATTTTATAACAATGGGACAATATTGTACCTTCTGAATATAAGTAGAAGAAGTTGCCAACGGCAAGATGCTTGCACTGGTCCTTTGCTCTCCAGTTCCAAATGTTCTGTAATTCAGAAGGTTTTGAGCATGAGATGGCAAATCTGTAGGTGATTTTAAATGTTACTGAGATTAGTGAAACTAAAAACTAGAGAAATAGCTGGCAGTTGGAGCATGAAAAAGAGAATTGGAAATAATTATGCATTTCCTCTTCGCTGGAAACTTCAGACAGTCCTTGGCAAGAAAGGAAGGAATTTGTTGTCTCTTTTGCATGGGGGAGGTGTCCTCAGACCTTTAGGATAAGCACAACTTTAAGGATCTTTCTGCCAACTGCAGCCTAAGAGCATCTGCAGGAAACGTGGCACACCCAGCTGGCCCTTCCCTCTGACAGGAATCCAGAGTAACTATGAACCTTACCGTTTTCAGTCCATAGGAGAAAGAAATGAAAAGAACATATAGATTCCAACTATGCTATCCTATGTAACACAGGAATACCAAAAATTCCTCTCCTGGAGGAGGACAGACAAGAAAGATTTGCTTATATTAATACTTAATCCATTTCCTTTCCATTTTTAACTTTGGAAATGGCTCAGCTACCATAAAAAGCTCAACATAAGAATCTGGGGAAGCTAAATAATGAATACAGAAAAAGTTTCATTACTTAAAAACGGCAGTGCAAAACAACCATGAGTTTTACAGAAGGTATTTTGAGGATACTAAATCATAGAAAAGAAAAAGAGAAAAAAATACTTGAAGGCTTGTTTCTGGAGCCATTCATTAAATTTATAGTCCTTTTCTGCCTGAGTAGTTGCCATCAAAATTACTGAAATTATTTGACTAACGTTAGCTGGAATGAATAAGGAAAGCAGGTTCTCCTCAAAATTCTTAAAGTTTATTTCTTTGTTGGCTCAGAATTTCTACCTACATCTTTTTTCTTCTTTTTTTCTTCTTTTTTTTTTTTTTTTAAAAAAAAAAAAAAAAAGTTATGCTCTTAAGATCTTCAGTGATGGGTTTTCCTGTTTGTTTGGGGTTTTTTTAATTATTTTTTTTTCCACAACTTTATTAGATCCTGTAATCTGTAGGTGTTTTCTTAAAATACAGCCTAACTCTGTTTTTCCTTATTCCGTTCAAATCATAATCCTTTTTCTGTCAACCTTAGTTAAGAAAACTGTTTGGTTATAGTCCTTACCGTTCAGGAGTTAGAACATCCTGAAATAATGAAGCTATGAAAAAGAGGGAAGAAGGGGAAATCTACATTATCTTCACAGTCCATTATCTTTACAGTTTCAGGGTTAAGAAAATTACTGTACACTTCCAGTATGCCAAGAAAAGTAGACACACTTTAAAACCAAATCAGAACCATATGTAACAGTCCTTGACTATAGGAAAAATCATAAATAATCTTGTGAGTCATAAAACTATCTATCAATTCAGCTTGAAAAGCCAGCTGACACAGAGTGCTCTGCAAGACACAAATAAAATTAACAGCCTCTTTTTGATGGCAGGGAAGAGGGCTGGAAAACCATCTATTATCTGAAGGGACACGGAATTTATTTAGTGACAAAAGCTGATGTTATCTCCACAGATCCACATATCCTGGATAATTTCAAATTACATACTTTCTCTCAAGCCTGATTACTCACTCAGATAAAAAATGGCAACGATCTTCCAGTTCAAAGTTGCAAAGACTGCTTTGTCAGTTTGTTGAAAAGCCTATTTGTGGCTGAAAAAATCTAGTGAAATCCATATACTACTGTGAAATATATCTAATGTTCCAGCGTGTTCACTGTCACAGAGAGGAATCTTCTCTCAAGCTTGTGGTAGTTTGTCTGCACTACCCAAAGAGAATTGGCTTGGTATGTCTACCAGGCTGATAAACCACTTTTCAAGTTGCAGAATAAATAATTTTTGCTCAGAAATGCTTCCTCAGACATGAAAGTTAGTCAGCATAGCGTGCTTCATATGGATCCTTTTGTAGCATTACTTGAAACAAGCTATTCTTATTCAGGGTTCCTATTTGTGCTGAATTTAGAGGGTACAAGTTAAACTTAGTCTTGTTCAGTTAGTGTCAGTGTTTTCTGTCCAAATCACAGGAAACTCATCCCCAGCTGTCAGTGGTAGTATTGCTAAGCAGGTTACATGACACAAATGTTACATTTTTGCTCTCCTTTTCAACCTGGATCCCATCAGTAATACCTTCCTGGGGTCATCGGCAATTATGGAAGGCAACTTGTTACCTTTGAGCCATGTTTTGGAGACTGGTAGCTGTATATTCTTATCAAATATTAATGCAGGCAGATGGTATTATATCCAGAGAAGGGAGCACAGGCTGGAAGAACAAAGACACAGCATCCTGCACCCTGGGCACACAAGGATTTGCCTCACCCAAATGCTGAAACACATGCTGCCTGCTGCACGTCTGCACCCTTTCTTGCTAGGACTATTTTAGCAGGAGATCAGGTTCCTAGATGTTATTCAGCTGTCATTTTTTTTTCCCCTCAACACCCACATTATATATTAAGAACTTCATAAACCATCTCTGTGCAAATTAGAAGCACTAGTACATGAAGCTACTTTATCTTTCCAGGGCTTAGAAACTCATATTTTCTTAAAATGTTGCTTTTCTTTGTCTTTAGAAATAATATCTGCATCCCATCTACATTATTCCTTCTACATTAGAATACTGACTGCAGAGCAAATTCTGTTGTACTTGCACAATTCTGGTTTTCACCACATAAGAAATTTTACTATTAATTTTAAATTACTGGAATTTCAAGGCTAAGCCAGTCCATCTTTTCCAAAGGCCATTTTTCTGTTATTCAGATCATGAGCATAATAGCGTAGCAATAGTATTGCTTCCTGTTATTTCAGTAGCATTGTTATACTTGTATTGCATCATAATTGTTTAAGGTATAGTAAAAAATTAAACGAAAATTTGTCAAAATACATGGAAATCAGTTCTTTGTGTTGACGTCATTCGATGAAGCTGCAAAGCAGTGACACTGCAAGCTTGTGGTTAACTCCTGCTTACTTTCAAACAGGGCCAGTCACATTTTCGTCAGAGTGTAGCAAGCACTTCCATCGACTGTATCACAACACAAGGGACTGCTCCACGCCAGCCTGTAAGTAGCAATTAAAGTGCCTACAATGCTAACTGTGGTACCTGTTTAAAAGCAACCTCATTTTCCTGCTGTGTTGGATTTGCTGGTCCTTTTGTAACTGTTGCTCTTTACTTTAGCGCTATACTACAAAATATACCCAAGGTCTTCTAATATACAAGATTTTCTGTTAATGCACCTGCAGTCAGCTGTGTAGAATGGAGTTCCTTCAAAGTGAGATTAACATAAATGAAATGAAAACGACACTCTCAGAACCCAGCTGGCCATGCCTATGCAGAGGGCAGATATTAAGCCATATTCCCCTTCCTGCTCTACTTATTAACATGTGCAAGAAGATAAAATCTGAACTGTTCTCTACCTTCCATATCACTCAATAGTATCTTGGAGTTTTAGTATATTTTATTTTGTGATGATAATTTTCTATTACATGCTCTTTGTTAAAGAACATAAAATCAATTAGTTAATCATTTCTGTTATTGATACTTGCAGTTATTATCAAACTATATTCCAGTATGAGATCCACAGAAGTTTTGCTTTAACACAACCTGAACGTAGTTTTGTCAAAGAGATTGAAAAATAAAACTGTCCTAAGATGTTGTTAAATGGATAAAACAAACAAAAACCCCAAACAAAATGGAAACCCCTTACAAAGAAGTTACTTCAGCATTATCTAGTGCAATGGACCATTCAAATAAAGTGAGTGGAAAATAAGCAATACCATTGAATTAGGAAAGGTGAATCTCATTAGTGATGTGTAAGCACAAACTATGGACCAGGGTGCTTTGGAAATTTTTCGGGATTAACATGAAAATATAATTACACTTCTTGTCTTAGAAGCATGATAAGGGCTTTTTGTGAGCAGCTGAAGTGCTCCCTCACCAAAGCTCAGCACCTCAGAGGATCTGGCTTTTGAAAGGGCTGGAGCAGCCCTTGTCTCCATCTGCACTTACACTGGTTATTAGCTGGAATGGAGAAATCCATGGCTGATCCTCAAAAGATACACATACAGCTTTGTACGTAGGCATATGAGTAGGCTAGACATATAGCTACTACGTGCTGCATAAAAAAAATACCATGCATGTTGCGTATTGCATACGTGGATCCAGAGTATATGAATATTACTTGGACTCCCCCTGTATTGATTTAAATATAATCCCTGTATATCTATTTATGAAGAAACACAGTCATAATAGTTCTCTTATAATTAAATAGATTTTCTTAAAAACAAGATTGTGGTTACGACTGTGTGAACAACTGATTTTTAAGTTCAACTATAAAAACAAAATGTAAAATAAAAAATGCAACTAAAACCAAAGCAGGGTTGGTTTTTTTTCTTGTTTACATCAATCAAACCCAAAGTAGAAGATAAGTTCATTCAACTGGAGATGTTCTGTTGATCTAAAAAGGAGACCCAAGTCCTCAGAACGCTCTCCACCTTATCCAGCACTCCGAGTTTAGAATAGCTATCAAGGATGACCATAGCCAGGATCATTTCCTGTCTCTTTAGAGGGGTTTGGTATTTCTTTCAGGGACACCTTAGCCACCATAGGATGTCTGAGGATGAGTTATTTCCTCTCCTGCTGATATGGTTATATTCTCTACAAACAGTCTCTGAAGAACTGAAGCCAGGTTAGCATTCAGTCTCTTGCTGTTTGACACAATTCTATTAAGTTTTATTAAAGTACTTCTCAAGGAAGAGAAGAAAATTACACTTAAGTATTTCTTGTTCCCAAATAGATCTTTCCATCAGAAAGGAGGGCAGAGGCTCAGTGGCCCCTTGAACCACTGGCCATTTGCACCAAGGACACCAGAGAGGGAGCTAGCCAGTAGGACACTAGTATCTCTGGTCTGGTGCTTAAGAGATGTACCTAGACATGGAAAATATGGAATTTCATCAATGTTAATACTAAGTGGAACAATAAAAAAGTTTGAAAGAGCCTGACCTCAAACTACCTCATAGTCTGCTGCTCACAATAGCCTCCCAGTTAATGAGTTAAATTCCTTTAGGTAAAGTTGGGAGTTGAACCTGGTCTTCTACATCTTAGGAGGAAACTACTCAGTAGAAAATTAATTGCCACCATCACTCACATTTCCTCTAGAATCCAGGCTAGGATAAGGTACAATCTGATTTTGCATCTTGCACACATAATTTCATGAATTTTCATTGGAGGTTGGTTTCACAGAGAATCTATACAGTGTCTGAAATTCTAGTACAAATTCTACATTTATTTTATGCAGTTTTTGAGGGTATCTGACAACTGAGATTCATTATTGCTGTGGGTAATTTTGTTTTATAGATTATAAAAGGTGTGCAAGGTTGCTAACAAGATTAGCAATGAGCCCTTTGTGTACACAGTCCTAGGATGTTTGCTATGTAAGTATCATTTTTCCCACTCATTTTCTTATTTGTTGAATTGTCTAGTGATTTACTTCACACTTGTACCTTGTTATCAGGCGTGCTTACAGAAATGTGATATTAACAGCGTGTGCATCAATGTGCAGTTCTGGCATTGCTGTGAGGGCTGACTGGTTCCTCATGGAAATACACAGAAGCGCAGATGGCTCTGATAGGCCCCACTGTAATTTCCTACAAGTCACTAGTGGCACCACAGTCCATAATTATGCACTAGGTCACATCTTGCTGTTCAAAATGTCAACGAGTCTGGTTGGTGAAAGAAAGACAGATGAGGAACTTTATCAACACATTTATTTCAGGCCTTTCAGAAGAGGTCTTTGTTGTTAATCCATGGATGAAGAAGAATGCCTTGGTCTCAGGGCTGCCAATGCAATCTTCATAGGTAACCTTCATCTTTGGGACCACCTTTCACTCCAAATTGTCTCCTGAGAATTTCTTTAAAGTTAATACCACTTCGTGGAGGTGGAAGTAAACTGAATATAAAGATGTGACATGGCTAAAGGCTTCATGTTACAGGCTGTGGAAGGAACCAGTCCCTTCTTGTTTGTGAACAGCATGTTAAATGTGTTAAACAGCATTGTCACTGGTAAAAGGAACATCTTCAAGTCAGCTGTTTTCTCTAGTTGTTTGAATATGACTAAGATGCTTACGCTTCCAACAGTAATTTGAAAAACTGCTGTGGTTCTTATTGACCACTAAAATATATAAAATCAGTGAATTTAATTTATTTAAATTTCTTCAAAGATGGTTTCCTTTCACCTCCTCCTCCTGACAAATACTGCAAGCTTGGAGTTTGGGGGAGTTGTGTATGTCACTTCTTCCTGCATCAAGACTTCAATTCATACTAATCAAGAATAAGAAAGGAAGAGTAGGATATGAGTCAGTGTTAGCTGATTTGATTTCCAAGTGGAGGTGGGATTCATTTTGGTGGCTGTGAGAAAATGCTTTGAAGAATATGGCAATATTTCAGTGCTGAGAAAAAATGACATAATTTCTTTCTCTTCTTCTTTTCTTTTCTTAACTATTTTCGCTCTATTTGGCCTCTTGTCTTCCAGGTCTTGCAGATAGTTTTAAATATATCAGGGACACCGAAACAGAGTCTGACTAGGGATCTCATTACTTTGCCAAGATCTCCTTTTCATAACCAAGGACAGGAACCATTTTCCGAATGCCCTTTTTAATGTGGCTTTTTTTTTTTTTTTTTGAAGTGCCTAAATTCCTGTTTGTTTGCTAGTGTCCTCTTTCAAATCTCAGTTTTCTAAAACATCCCAGCACTCTCTCGTTTTCTGCACTTTCACCTATTTAGTCTGTGTTTTTCCCTCATCTGTATCCCTTTACACCTCTGAGTTCATGGCTCAGGGCTTCCAGAAAGATTTCTGGGTGTTCCAATACAATTTTCCCTTTTCTTTTGAGAGGATGAGTCAAAGATCTGCCTCCATATCCACAGTACAGAAGCTTCTATCTCATCCTCTTACCATCTTTAAACTACAAAAGGATTGAAAGTTGCTATGATTTGCATGTCCAGGTGTTCCAGTTTGCCTGCCAAAAATACACTCAAAGAGATTGCAAGTGGGGAAGAGGGGGGTTAAATGGTAAGCAGTGTTAACAGCTCGTGTGCACTGTGTTCACTTAAAGTTGTATCTAGGCTGACTTTTTTTCTACTTTGTTAAAAATAAGAGAAAAAATTATAAGAAAAAGTAGAGCTATGATCTGAGTGTTTCCCAGCTGCCTCTGTGCTCCATCACCCTGTTCCTCCACCTCAGAGAGAGAGAGGCTAGTTTCCACTAGAGACAGATAGGCTCAGGTCTTCATGTTTACTCATATTCCAATATCTTCTTGGAATGGAAGCATTTTCCTGAGAAGGATGAAGGGTGGCAGGAGTCGCTTTTTCTGCCCTCCAAATAGACAGGGCAGCACAGGAGTTAGGTATGTTCATCCCTCAATAACACAGCATTTCCAGCATGATTCTGTGATTGCTTCTACTCCATCTTTTGGCACAGAGGATCTGTTTTCCTTACCACCCTCACACTGGCTTAGAGAGGACAGGGTAATGGTTCCTGACTACTGTAAGTGAATTTGCCTTTGCTTTAACATCTGAGAGTCTTTCTTGGAGATTCTCGGCTGCCTTGAAGAAGGAGCCTCTCCCACTCGAAGAACTGACAACTATTTTTAAGCATTTCTCCTGCATATACTAAAATAGGGTACATTTTCCTCATTAAAAAGAACTGCAGTGCTATTATGCGAATATTTTCCTCCCTCTCCTCTAAGTACCCGGGTACAAAAAAAGGAGATGTGGTCTTTTCCTGTTCGGAATGAAGTTTTGCCTGGGAAAAGCCAACCTGGCCAGGGAAAGGGGGGAAAGCCAGCCTGGACAGAAAAGTCAGCCTGACCAGGGGAGGGGGGAAAGCCAGCCTGGCCATTTGAGGGGGGAGAAGCCATCCTGGTCAT